TGGTGGGGATGGATATGTTCTTCTGTGACGATGCATGACGACGGTGGATGGCTGGAGTATGGCGAAAAAAAGCGTAACGTCGTTTTTACAAGGCCACAATACCTTTAATAAAAACATACAGTATATATTTTAACACGCTGGTTACAATTTAACGTTAATTTAAAAAATGGCCTTAGAATTCCTTTAAAAGCTTATTACGTAAAAATTGTCTGCCCTTTTTACAATATAAGGTAATTTGTCGAAGGCCGTCCTCTAGAAATTATATATATATATATATATATATATATATATATATATATATATATATATATATATATATATATATATATATATATATATATATATATATATATATCGATAGATAAGTTAGTTAAAGAAGATTCGTAGACCAAAGTTTGTCAGTGAAAGAAATATGTGTTGATTTCATTGTTTGTAACTAAAAGTAGATGGTTAAAAAATGTTTGGTTACAAAAAAATATTCTTGTTAATTAACTAAGTTTTGAGGTTGTGATTTTAATATTTGTAACCGTAGCAGGCTATTGTAAGTAAAAGAGGATATTCCGGTATCCTCTGTGTATTCTCAGTAAAAGAGATGCCATACTACAAAATAAGCTCAGTTCGAATGGTTTCATCAGTATTTTATGTGGTTGCATTTTTGTAACTGTGTGCTTATGACAAGATTTAAATTTCATGACAAAAGTTATACTGTATTTCAGAGTTTCTTCCAGGCATCTCTTCGGGGGGGGGGGCGAACGATATGGATTTTATATAGTAAACCCACATTTTTACTAGTGTCCGCCCCCCCCCCCCCCCCCCGAAAATTTCAAGTGCCCCCACCCCCCCCCCCCCCCCCTCCTCGGAGAAAAAAGTCTGGAAGAAACACTGCTGTATTTTCGATATTTTAATTAAACATTTTTTTACAGGCAACAAGATGAGTTCCTTTTATGACACGGACTCTGATTGGTCAGACCTTTGTGAAGGTTTGTTTATTAGCTAGTTAGTTCTACGAGCAACTAAGGACAAAAAATTAAATGAAGTGCAATCACCCCTCAAAGACAAATCTACGCCGATTCGAACCCGAAAAATAAGTTTGTGAATTTTAATTTTTTTATGCATAAGTATCTTAAAACGGGCATGGTTTAGGGCTTAGATTATTGTAATAGAACTTTTAAATATGTTACTAGTTGTTGGTGAAAATATTTTTAATGTAATACAATTCTCGTGTTTTTTCTATACAGTTACACATGAAGTAGAAGAATGTGGTAAATGTGAAACTGAGGCAGATGGACAGATACGACTGGCAAACTGCAGGAAAAATCCTGGCCATGCTGGGTTTGTTCCTGTGAAACAGTTCACCATAGACCGTTTTCCTTCTGGTTGTCATGACGACGACCTGTTAGACTTGACAAAAGTCCTGGCTGACCTAACTGTCATGATAACAGTCAAGTTGACCAGTCTTGACAGACCAGAGTTTGTAGGAGACAAGAAAGATCCATATCCTTTCTACCACAGCAGGGGGAAGAGCATACATAGGAAGGGGACGGGGAGGGTGACGTGTGTGGACAGAAACACGCAAGTATCCTGGGACGGACCTTGTCGATGTCCTGAATGTGAACAGTCGGACACACCCAGCGAAGTGTGGTGGAAGGTGTGCGTTCTGACATCCAAGCACGTGGTGTTTGACTCGAGTGAGGCAAAACATACCAGCTGTAGGTTGTGGTTTGATGATGCTACAAGTCCAGAAGACCACTTCTATGGGTGGAAGGTGGATTCGACAACCACAGACGAAGATGACGGGTCAATGCTGTTTTGCGTGACGCATGACATAAACGTATTTCTTAAGCTGCATGAGATGTGGGAACGATGTAACAGTCTGTGTAAGACTGTGAGAGAAAAATTCAACAAGACTAGACATATACACAATCTGATTATAATAGTCTCACATCCCCATGGGAGCCCTAAGCAGGTCTCTGTAGGTCGTTGGTTGCTCCTCGAAGAGATATCTAAATTGAAGACCAGGTACACGTACACAAATAGTACCTGCCCTGGGAGCAGTGGGGCTCAGGTGTACAGACTGGGCTGTACCATGTCTCGTCATAATCATATGGGAGCAATCTCTAACAAGTTAAGTCACAGTGGGGTGAACTTCGAAGGTGACTTTTAATCGTCTGCATATCACTTTTGAAGCAAACGTAAACGCAGGCGAAAACGAAATTTAGCAATATGAATGGATTATTGACTATTTCATTACTTAACAATTAAAATTAAAATAATATTTTCAATGTGTTTAACTTCATTACTTCAACCCATTTTTCTCTCACACTCTCTCTCTCTCTCTCTCTTTATATATATATATATATATATATATATATATAAATTCCAATGGCTTTTTAAGGCACTTCATGGTGCAAAAGAAGGTTGAAGTTCGATGAAGAAAATAATACAAGGTTAAATACAGGTTGGCCTCAAAACGGTCAACGAGTGGTGAAAACTGACCACATTTAATGTAAGCCTCTAATTTAACTTAGATCTGCAATAGTGTACAGGCTAGTGATTAAGGTTAGATTTTACGCATCTATTTTTGAAAACCTGATGAAACCGGTCGACAGTAATTTGTACCAAAACGAATTCCGCTAGATAAAAGGGCCAGCACCCACAAGATTTGACGGCAGCTGCTATTCTATTACCCAGAGTGCGAGACAGTCGCGTCGCTAGGTCGGATGTCACCCAGTGCGGCACGTAATGGTGTCACCCCCCCCCCCCCCCCCCGAAAAAATTATACATATATATATATATATAGTGTGTGTGTATACAGATCTACATAGGAATATATATAGTTGCAATTGGTGTCACCCCACTCCCTTTTGCCTAATAGCGTCAATTTGTACGCACATTATATTAATCCAATTCAAGTGGAAAAATCATCGTTTTTATCGTAAATTATTAGATTTTGGTGTCACCCACTCCCCGGTCGTTGATTGTCTAAACAAAACCTTCAATCCTCTGTAAATTTACTATTATTTACTAAAACGATGTTGTCATTGATAACAGCGCCAAAGTTGTGACTGTATTACGAAGAAAATTCCGTGGGTGAAATCACACTCAATCTCTTATTTACTTGTATGATATCGGAACATAAAAGCATTAAGACAAATTATTATACGTGCTTATCTTTTAAAATAATCTATATACTTATCACTGCTTATTTTTCTTATGAAAACCTCAAAAAGGGTTTGGGGGAGGGGGGGGTCCACTTGTTTTATGTCAAGAGGGTGTTTGGTCATATTCCAGGGGATGTTGATTTTATCTGCATTTTATTTTTGTACTTTTCACCACCGGGTCAATTCTAAATAATTAAATTCAATGTAACTTCCCCCCCCCCCCCACACACACATATATTAATTAAACTAGCTTCTAAAAATATGTGCTTGTTGTTTTGCTGTTTTTTTAAATTTCTATAATTCACATTCAAAATTCTAGCTATTTTAACGTGTAAAATGTGTTGAATTATATTCGTAAATATTGCCGTGCAAAATACTGGCAGGAAAAATATTGCGGGGAAAATACTGAACAAGCGCATAACTAAAGAAGCCCGTATTTTAAAATGTATAGGGTCAACAATGCTGCTATGTAGACAGATGAACATCCTCTGGCTAACCACTCGGCCAACCGAACCCAACCACTGGAGAACCGAACCCAACCACTGGAGAACAGTTGTACGTGCTGTATTGCAGGCAACTTAGATGAAACCCGGGTCGTTTAGAAAAAAAAATCTCTTCCGTCAGCATTTTAACCTGGGACCAGCTGTAAATCTCATCAGCCAGTACCGCTAAATGTGAAAAATATAAATAAAAATAAATTTTAGTTGCTCGTAAAACTCTCATCTCAAGTTGTCGACGTAATTAAAACCAATAATTACAGACGCAGTCTTATTGGCGCAGCAAAATAACCGAACCAGCTGATGCCTCATTTTATGACATGCAACAAGCTAATAAATATCTGAAAGTTTGGTTATCATTTTGATCCTGTGCTACGTATTGTAAGTAGGATCAGCATTACATAACTTGCTCTAAATCTCTATCTTTTTAACTTGATTTACTTACATAACTTGCTCTAAATCTCTAGCTTTTTAACTTGATTTACTTACATAACTTGCTCTAAATCTATAGCTTTTTAACTTGATTTATTTATATTTTAACCTAATTTTCTATTTAAAAAAAATAAATTGTGTAAAGTTCATTAATTATATTATAAATTTCCATTCCAGAATAAAGAAGATAGGTATAGTAATCATCGATTTATGAGGAAGATAAAAATAATAATTAAGATCTCAAATACTATATTTTCAGACTTTTTTCCTTGTAATTGTTAAAATGGCCTGTTGTAATTAACCACAGAAATAATTTTACAAATGAACCTAACACAAAGTTATGGTCGACAATTCGTTAAATTGAAGTTTCCTTTTTCAGCCCACAAAAAAAAAATTCCGGCGTAGTACTTTTTAAAAAAAAATTTTGTTCTAACGAGATGGAGTGCCGATACTTACTTCTGATAAGTGCCGTAGCCGCAATTGGTATGTACATCTACTCAGTGGAAGAAGTGAACTTTATTTCTACATATATATATATATATATATATATATATATATATATATATATATATATATATATATATATATATATATATATATATATATATATATATATCCCAACTTTTTATTAATTTCTTTTCTTACATTCATCAAAATGTGAACACATACATGACTAAGTTGACAGAGAAAGAATACAATATCCTGAGACAACAAGGGTTCATTTATTTTCATTAATATAAAGCTGTGTTATGTGTGATGAGAGCTGTTGGCCATGAAGAATTATTTTTTTTAGCTACGAAAAACCTCAAATGTTATCGAGCTACAGGTAAAATACAACATGTTTTTAAATTGTATTTTAAACATGTTTTGTGGAATACATTTTTAGGAATTGCCGCAATAAGTAGCGAGGATGCCGGTCACAGAGAGAAGCGAAACGCAGCTCAACTGTGTCATGTTATCAATGCCTACACGCAAAGATGGTGCACAGACTACCTAGGGTACGGCTGTTTCTGTGGGCCCAGGAGTCAGGGCAGCAGGCCCGTGGACGGATCAGACCGGTGAGGTTTTAACTGTTGAAATCACACCCCCCCCCACACACACACACACAGAAACACACAGGTAGAACCGGGACGTCGTGGAGACAATGTATCTCGCACACAGTACTGGGCACAGTACTGACCACGCTATCTCATTCATATGATGAGGTCACAGAAACAGGTGAACTCTACTCCATCTGCCACATAGACCATCGGTTTCAAAAGGGTTACCTTAAACTCACTAACCCTGGCCCTAACCTAACATCTACCAACTAATCGCTGAGTTTCTTTTTGGATTTGCTTCCATAGCCTTTGTCCAACCAAGAACAAACTACAAGGCAGCAGTTGTTTAATTTTGGAGTTGTCTCTCTTAGAAGAGTGGCTGTCCGCAGCTAACGAGCCTCATCTGCCCGAGGGCTCGAACTCAGTGTTTCTTCCAGACTTTATTCTCCGGGGGGGCACTTGAAATTTTCGGGGGGGGGGGGCGGTAGACTTTCCTCGGGGGGGGGGGCGGACACTGTTAAAAGTATATATTTTCTATATAAATTATATAAATTTTATTTCGTTCGGGGGGGCGGTAAAAAAATTTCGGGGGGGGGGGCGAAGAGATGCCTGGAAGAAACTCTGCTCGAACTCGAGGCTTTTCGGTCCAGCAACCATGAGCTTTACCGACTTGACCTCACCGACCCCATTTTCTTTCTATTAAATCACGCTTGAAAGTCTGACCTAGGTCAATGTACCTATACTCTGCAGCTGTTGTCGGGCACATGACCAATGTTTCAGTCGTCTGGAGTCCCTGGGATGCAAGAACTTGATTTTCCTGTCATACAAGTACACGTGCGCAGGAGGCAGTTGCACGTGCTTAGGTGAGTAGTCAAACGTATACAGCGATGCTACAAGCACTGTAATTTTACTCACCCTCTGCTTCAATCATTCGCTCCTCTCCTGTAGACGCTGACCGCAACTCGTGTGCATATCGCTCGTGCGCGTGTGACGTCACGCTAGCTGCGTGCCTGCGATCAGCATCGTTCAGTCAACGGTACAGGAACTACAACCTCAGGAACTGTCAGTAGAGAGTAGCCTGCACCTGAGTCGGTGCCAGAGTTTTCACCCTTTGATGCCAATATCTAAAATATTAAGTCTTTAAATAAAAAAAATTAAATTTTGAATATACTGTGTTGTGGTAACGACGAATGAATAAGCGAGGTTTTTTTTTAAACCCGTGCACAACAGGGGGGGGGGGGGGGGCGGACACTGTTAAAAGTATATATTTTCTATATAAATTCCATTTTGTTCGGGGGGGGGGGGGAGGCGGTAGACTTTCTTCGGGGGAGCAACCCCTCCCCCCCCCCCCCCCCAGATGAGATGCCTGGTATAAACTCTGGTGCACAATGAGCTAATATCTGCAAGGGTGCGAAAAATACGATTACATACAATTAATATTTATACAAAAACATCCCTATTCAAAAGCTACTGACAGGAGGGCTCACAACAACAAGCCACATTCAGCATTTTGCTGATATGACTTTTTCATCGTTTCAACAACGCAGACGAGCATTAACCTAGAGCAATATGTCAAGGTCACAGTTCGCTCTGAATTATTAAAGCAACCATTTTAAAAGTGTATAGTTTTAAAAACTAACTTTGTTAAGGTCGAACTGACTAACCCCAACACCAAACTGCACAATGTTTCTCTGTTATACACATTTGATCAACACGCTTCCCCTAGTCCTCTCTAAACAAGATCCTCGTACCCATCATGCACACTCTTTACACAGCTGCGATCAACGCAGGACTGGCCACTACTCGCTGTTACGTCCCTTACATGTCCCCTGCTTGTGTGTGTGTGTGTGTGTTGTGTGCTGGAACGACAGGTACCCTCCCTTTGGTGTATAGTTGTATCCCTTGGTTGAGTGTGTTTACATGGCGCGAGAAGTGTTCACGTGAGGAGTGTCTGGTGTGTGAAGCAGTTAGTTGTAGTGTGGACGTGGCTGTGACTGGGGTTGTGTTAATATCATCATCTGTGTTAAAGCATATAGTATCTTTTATTGTTTTCATATTATTTATTCTTATATATATATATATATATATATATATATATATATATATATATATATATATATATATATATGTATTAAAGTTATTATTATTGCTTAGTATTGTTATCCAGTGAATTTACTGTGGTGTATGTTGTCAGTTGCTATAATATACCCCTAGACTTAGAGTGAAGAACCCAACACTCACACACTCGCTGTCCCAATGCTCCTAAGCTATTTCTAAGTTAGCCCTAAAAATGATACAACAAACATATTTGACCAACAAAATAACTCCTTACTTTAGCTTGTTACTACAGTTTAATTGAAGCAGGTAAAAAGAACGACGTAAGTAGGAGTTTTTATTTGATATGAGGAATTAATACTATTGGGAAATTACACGAAACACCCACACATAAATAAACAAGCTCATTAACAAGATTTGAATCCACGCTAAAGCCCACTTATAATCACATACACAGCAGGGCAAAAAAATGTCGTGCAAAATACACTACATGGATAATTGTCTTTACAACAAACCTTCAATACAAATGTGAATATAAGTGTGAATATATACATAAATACAAATTTGAATACATAATATGAATACAAACTTGAATTTATATGCGAATACAAATGTGAATATATGTGAATACTAATGTGAATACAAATTTAAATCATAATTTGAATACAAATGTGAATACAAATTTGAATACAAATGTAAATACATATGTGAATACTAATGTGAATACAAATTTACATCATAATGTAAATACAAAAGTGAATACTAATGTGTATACAAATGTGAGTACTAATGTGTTTACAAATGTGATTGATTTCATAATGTGAATACATATATGAATACAAATGTGAATACATACATATATATATATATATATGTATATATACATATATATATATATATATATATCTGTGTGTGTGTATGTGTGTAAACTATATCTTATACATAATCGATATCGAACACCACATAACCTATAAATGGATATCCTCCTTACCAGTAGTCTTTTGTTTGTATGCCACTGATTAGATGTGCTATCCGACACAAACTTACTTCAATGGAATAATAGAAAACACCCTCTGCTTTATTTCGAACGCCGTTAACAAAAACACTGCGCCTTGACAACATACATTAACACATTTGAAAAACAATAAGGTTCACATTTTCCTATAACGTTGTACGTTTTTTTAAATGGTTATTCAATGGTAGTGTCAACATTTGTAAAAAATCAGATTTTATTTCCCAAAGCTAGAACAAACATACATCAATCGTTTTAAATATAACATGGGCGGCCTTTGATTATTATGGTACTGCCTTGTATTTTAAAGTAAAATGATCTCTAAAAATTTTATTTTTTGTAGCGAAGAACGTTAAAACTACATTAATTTTTAGAAAGAGAAGTTAATAGACAAAATAATCTGCTATTAGTAAATCTTTAAAGCATTTTTAATACGAGTCTCCACGTTTTCGGAGGATAGGATCAGGCATCAAAAAATGCGATACGCGAGTACGTTTACGTGTGCGCGTATGTGTAAGTTAAGTGTAGTAGAACGCTCCGGCGATCCTTCGCTAAAATTTCATTGTTTCTACCTCGCTAACCAACAACTTTCTTTTTAAAATCGTTTTTCGGCGATTTTTGTTTTTCCTTATCTATATATATAATTCTCTTCTTGGAGACGATAGAAACACCAAGCTGTAAGCGCGCCTCCTAGCAGCCCCTTCTCTTCCTCTCTAGGCATATCGCTACCACACCCACCCCCACATGGTCTGGTGAGCTGTGGTTCACGCTAAATGTTTACAATCGTAGAGCCGGGTTTAGTGACGGCTATAAGGGGCATATAATTTAGTTTGAAACTATTTTAAACTTAGGGGAGGTAGGTAACTAAGAGGAGGCTGCTTTCACGGGGGGGGGAGGAGGGTTTTAGTGTCTTAAGCAAATATTTTCAGTGACAGCATTCAAATTATGAATTACTGAAAAGTAGAAAAGAAAACAACTAAATAGCGGCGTATTCTTACGTATTCAACTTTGACCTATTTCTGATGTCTAGACTTTCAGTGTTTCTTCCAGACTTCTTCCAGGGGGGGGGGGGGGCACTTGATGTTTCCTGGGCTTATCTGGACATGATCCGTAGTTTTTTTTTTTATTCTGGATCAATTTGTTTTCTTGATTCTGACAATGATTAAACTTGTTTTAAATTTTTAGTTCAATAAATTTACAAAAATTTGCTGAAAATAGGCGTAGTGAGAAGGTGCATGCTCGAATGCCCCTCCCCCTTGCTACTCCCATGCCCCCCCCCCCCCTTGCTACTTCGCGCTGTTCATGTAAAACATATTGTTCTATTCACGCTTGGTATCTTTCCTCCATTGCTGGAACTTGCCGTAGGCCGCGGGTAAGGTGTAGGCGATGGGGTTGGTCGCCGAGTTTAGGGGCAGGACTATGATGGCCAGCCAGCCATGGGTGTCAGGACTGAAGGTCTGACCGGCATACGACATGAGTCCCACCACACAGACCGGCAGCCAGCACAGGATGTTGGACACGACAACCAGCGAGAGATTCTGTGCGACCGTGATCTCACGTCTCCGCTGGAGGCTTGTGTTGATGATGGAGCTAGTCGGGAGTAAGATGCTTTTAAAGATCATAATCTGGCCGACAGTGATGAGCAAGATCAACACAAAGTTAACAATGATGTACAGAGTCAAGGAAAAAATGCGACCTAGTTCATTTTTTATACTGATAGGAAGTCCCAGACACACGGAACTTGATGAAAAAAACTGCCATTCTGGGAAGAGGATGGGAGTCATAGAAACAACTGAAGCACATGCCCATGTTGATGCTACTATCAGCTTCAAGACTTTTGGACGGAACCTGAACTGCTTTAAGGGGTTTCTAAAGATCAAATACCTCTCTAGTGTGATGAGCAGAACAAAAAAATTGGAGCTCTCACTTGAAAGAGTTGCGAGAAATCCAGCGATTGTACAAAGAGCACTGCCTCGCCATTTTGAGTCATACAGCACATAATTATCTTGGTAGAAAACATCCACTCCTGCTATGATCATTAAATAAATGCTCATCAATACATCAGAGAAGGCTAAGTTGATCACAAATAGCTTAAACCCATGTTTGAGAATATTTTTCTCAGAGAGCAGCGTATAGAATAGCACAACAACATTGCTCACGAATCCAACGAGCGCAACTCCCCATATCAGTGTACGTTTGAGCACGTCACCGAGAAGATTTTCACACGATGATATACCATCTTTCGGTGCGAAACAGCTGCCCTCTTCGATACCTGGTCCTCTAAACTTCTCGCAACATAGCTTGTAATTATCACCGTACACTTCCCAAAGTATCTCCAATTGTTTGAAATATTGTGAATTTTCAGGATCGAATGTTATCCGCGTATTTCTCAAGTCTAAAGTTGTAATAAACATTTTATCATTAGACCAGTTGGCTTGGTTAATTTTGGTGAAGCTGACATTTAAAAACAACAAGGCTATCTCTGAATCGTGTTTTATCCTAAGTGACTCTAGCGCCGTGAACGAAAAGTCAATATTGCATAAATCTGGCATCATGTACATCAGAAGGTTGATGCGCATTATAGAAGTATGAGATAAATTTATATACACCAAATGCCTTAAATAATGTGAAAATGATTCAAATCTATCAAATTTGATTTTATTGTAACTAAGATCTAGTACAGTTGTGTGGTAGAGGCTGTTTTTTAAAGACATTAATAGTTGCCAAAGAATCTTATCTTTAAGGTTGCATTTTGACAAAACCAGTTCTATTAGCCGTTTGATCTGCGTTTGATTTCTAACGGTCGCTTTTGACAAGTCTAGACCTGAGGCTATAATTACAGCTGTCCGCGCGTCGAAGGATTCGAACAGAACGCTGGTGTTCACTTCCCAGCGGTTGCTGACGTAGGCGACGCCCCACTGGCACGTGAACCCGGATGGACATGTTTCGTGACACACAGACTCGTCCTCTCCCTGCTCACACTGCTGCTGGCCATCGCACACGTGCACGGGGTGTACGTACTCACCATACTTGCGACACGGGACTAGCTCACTCAGGTCGGCTCTTGTGATAGCTAGAATATAATCGA